TCTCCCAGTAAGCTCTCGATGCTCTCAGTGCTCTGGCCGCATGATTTTGTATTTGTTTCCCATTTGTCTCCCACTTGTCTCCCAGTAAGCTCTGGATGCTCTGAGGGCTCTGGCCGCATGATTTCAGACTTGTCTCCCACTTGTCTCCCAGTAAGCTCTGGATGCTCTAGTGCTCTGGCCGCATGATTTCACACGTGTCTGCCATTTGTCTCCCATTTGTTTCCCACTTGTCTCCCAGTAAGGAGAGGTGCTCTGGCCGCATGATTTCACACTTGTCTCCCACTTGTCTCCCAGTAAGCTCTGGATGCTCTGAGTGCTCTGGCCGCATGATTTCACACTTGTCTCCCACATGTCTCGACTTGGCTCCCAGTAAGCTCACTTGTCTTCCACTTGTTTGCCATGGCCTGTCTGGATGCTTTGTATCCCCGGGCTTGGCTGGATGCTGGGCCGATTAATTTTAGCCCTTGTACGGCGTCCCATTGTAAAGTCAATGAAAAACAGAATTTTAATGCTTTCCCTTTGAATCTTGTATGTGCGTCTACATGGTGGACTATAGTTTTCTTCCTCTAGGAATTACTGCTGGCCATATTGTTCGGAGATCTCATTTTTGAACCTTGCTCTGTTTGGGGTCTACGCTGGTATAATTAACTTGTTTAAACAGTTTGCTGTTTTTGCCAGGAAAAATTGTAAATGGTACAAGCAAAGCATTGAAAGCTTTCAAGTGTGCCCCTCTTGTACAGTGGCGACACGTGACCTGAGACGCACAACTCAAGCAAAGGCCAGCCATCGAGGCCACAAGCGTGCCATGCTTCTCCCCAACAAGAAACCAAATCACACACAAAGAAAGGCACGAAAACAAGGTCCACCGCACAATACATCAATAGAACAGTGATGGGCAAAACAGTCCAAACGATTGAGTCCGAATTTGACAGGTGGATAAGGCTGAGCTGCCGTGCTCATTGGCACATGTCCTGCAAATAATATGTTAGAACCATTGCCTGGATTTGCCAGGATAGTCCACTAGAGACGTTTTTGCCGCAAAGGCATAGTTTCTCAAGATTCCTTGATGGACCACTTTGAAATTGCTGGCTCCCCCCAGTTTTCCTCACGTGTCTGCGCTCAATTTCGAAGTGAAGCTACCGCTAGGATTCGAGATATGCCACTGCCCAAAACGAATGAAGGTGCCAAATTGTGTAAGGTGACAGAGCCTGAGAGTCAAAGACCGTCAAATGAATGGTCTCTAGGGTATCTGAAAGGAAACTTATTTAGTTCACTAAAGCAAATATAATCTGTCGACTTATGTGTTGTATCTGTTGTGTGGCAGTGAACATCGTCATTCATGTGAACCATCATAGTCATTCATGTGTGGGTGCATTGCGTTGCGAGGAGACGCATTCACTTCTCAGGTGAACGGTGAAAAATGACGGGTGAGATGTGACGTCAAGTAGACACTACCCAACAACACCTGACTCGGGACAGTTCACAAAATGTATGAACCATACAGTACCTTATTCTTTCCAGTCACTGTCGCTGCCATACACAATAGCTTAATTCTAAATTGCGTATGCTGACAGCCTGAAGCTTACTTCTTAAATTCAGAAACCTGAAACATAATTGCTACAAACCTTTGAAAAACCTGACCTTTTGAGATTTGCAAAAATCATCACTGATCTGAGTGCGATTAGTGAAATAGGAGATTTACATCCCAGACACTGACTCAGGTATCTCGACATCTTCCGGTGCTCACACGAGTCCCACCTGCACCCCACTGATGGATCACTGCCTTCGTTTTCCTCTTGAAAAAAATGTGTACATATTATATATATATATATATTATATACAATACTATTTTTCTGATAGTCATAAAATAATAACCATTGTAATGTCAATAATATAGTATATCATACGTTCAAAAAAGAACATACACACTGCGCACGACCATGCTTTCGCTAGGCGGCTGCTTCCGGCCAATGATGATCCGCCGCTGCGGCTTCAACGCATGGCGGGGTGGTAGCCAGCCAAAGACTGGCATGCCTGCAGGCGTGTGGTGCGACGGACACCCCGAACGTGCCGGAAACTGAAGTTTTCGAAGCGAAGAACAGGCAAATACCCCCTAAAGGCATCTCTGGCAGATCGGGCACAGCAAATTTCCCAAAAAGGCTCCAAACGGCTCCATGAGCATCCAAAGCCTAGGTCCGACCCACCCTGGTTTTTGGTCGCTTCGATCCCTCAATTCCGCTGTGGCAGCCTTGTGGATGCAACGTGGACGGGAAGGAGACCATGGACTTCGGCACCGTCGACGTTCCCTCCTCCAACCGCCAGAAGTGGTTCGAAAGCCGAACGACCACCGATCGGGGTCGGGGGTGAGGCATTTGGAACCTCGGCCAATCCGAGAAGAGATAGAAGAAGCGAAGGGTGACCCGCATTTTTGGGGGTTCCGAAGATCACAGCAATCAAGCACCTTCGACGAATGGGAGTGAGTTCAACCGCCGCTTCACCCGAACGGAATAGCTTCTGCAACGAAAGCAACACTACAAAGCCCGGCTGAAAGCATCTTGGATACAAAGAAGGCCGAAAGCCCACAGCCAAGGGCTTCAGCGTCCTCCCCATTCTGCGGAGAAGGTAGCGGAGGCCTGATGAAAGGGCCCCGAACTGCGGATTTCGAACAAAACCGCTTGGTTTTGAGGTCGACCAAAACGAAAAGGGTTGTCCTGGCAGTGAATTGCTATGATTTGCTATTAGTGGAGGACCATCGAATCAACGGCGCGTTTGCGACTTTCCCCCATTCTCCTATCTTCTCCATGATTCTCCATGTTCCTTGTCCATCCTTGTTCTTTTCGCACCGTCCGAATTCAGTCGTGGGGGACGATTCCTGGGCGCCCCCGGCCAGAAGCTCGAAAACTCCGTTTGAGAGGCCTCGGCTCTTCAGGCGAGTTCCGGAGCGCGCCACGGCGCGCCACGGAGCTCCACGGAGCTGACTTTGAAGGGCTTGGAATGCACGAGCACAGACAATCCAGGGTCACCACAGAATTGAAGGAGTTGGTTGTGCAGGCTCCCAATGCCCCTCAGCTGAAAAGGAGGCCTCGAACAGTCCACCCCCGATGAAGACTTCACATGCGAAGTGGGGAACCCACCGTTCGCGGAGGAAAGAGTTGTCTTCCTAGCGGGGTGATGTCAAAATTAAGCGAGTCCGAGAGCAACGTTTAAGAACATTTATTATGACCATATTCGCCAAATGTGAAGCTCCAAAACTACCAGACTCCCACACGTTAACCTTCTTTACTTTCATCTTTCTTCTCCCCTTCTGCCTCACATGCCACCCAAAGCACGGGTACCAAACACGCTCGGGCCACCGAGCCATGTAGGCGAGAGCATAAACTTGGTGCTCTGGATTGATCTTCACCAATCTGGCGCTGCGACGTGTGGCGCACTGCCCCTGTCTCCCACTCAGTCACCCTCATCACCTCATCACTGCACCTGTCGCACTGCCCCGGTCACCCGGGGCCTTTTGAAGTGCTCGGCCGCCTCGCTGCTGCGTCCCAGGAACATGGCGATGCGGCCCCGCGTCTCCAACAGCCCGATCCTCGGCGCCGTGCGACGGACGGAGGCGTCCATCGTCCACCGTCCATTGGAGCGACACAGGTCTGCTACTGCGGGCTTCTGAGTGGTGTGCTTGGAGAGAGATATTATATTATACTATATATCGTTCTGGTTCGGATCTGTTGGCTGTTAGCTGATGCAGTGTGTTTTTGTTTTTGATGCAATCTCAAACCTTGAAGACCTAAATCGCTGGAAAGCTTCAACCCTTGAGAAATGGCCGGTTTTGGGGACACGGTCAGAAGTGAAGGTCACCAGCTTGCCTACTCGTAATTCCTGCCTGCTCATAATCTTCACCTTCCATCCAACATCCGTGGATGCATCGTGTTCCCGTCCCAACCTGCGTCTAAAAGATCTAAACGTAAATCTTCCGTCAACATCACCTGCCTCTTTGCTCCAATCGGTGCATGGCACAAGCTTCGCCCCATGAGCTTCGTGAGTTTCGCGCGAGCTTCGCGCCTCTGAGGAACCCCGACTTATCCACAATTTGTGCCTCGTTCGCCCGCAAGCACTCTAAGGCTTCCTGCCGAAGCAAACGTCTCTTTTTCAGAAGCGATTTCCCAAGAAGTACACAGGGCAAGACCCTGAAAGAATCAGACATAGAAGTGGAAGAACGCCTGTTAGCAATGGTTTGTCAGGTAATGGTGTTTTAGGGGGAGTGTATCTCTGCCCGCTACAAAGATGTCGATGAGCTCCTTGCTAGGCTGACTTCCGAATCTTCCTCTGTCCAATGTAGCCTGCCTGGTCCATAGGTTACTATAAGTTTACATTTACAAGGATGAAACACCAAAACGAACATCGGACATCTCCGAATGTAATTTTGATTGTTGACTTATACACCTCCCCTTCATGATCAACAGTCAGCATGAATCCATCATTTAGCGCCCTCTGACAACAAAAAAATGCAGTATTTGTCATGCACAAAATCCTGAACGACAGATACCTATGGGTACCTCATCCATCGCGATGTGTTTCTCTGCTTCCCTGTCCTCAAACTTTCCGGCTTCTTCCATAATGGAGGCCTCGGCTCACTGTCCAAGATCCCTGCACACGACGCACCACCAAGAGCACGCTTCATGGCCAGAAGTGCCACTTTTGGGTGACGGACCTTGTAGAGGTGAAGCTCAGAGTTCTCGTAGTCCGAAACCTGGTCCTGCTCCTCACAGTGGCCAAGCTGCTGAGCTTCCTTGCTCTTTTGAAACAATTGGTTTTGGCGATAGAGGCTGCAAGAGTGAGAGCACAAATGGAGAATGATGGACACAAGTGTAAAACCACGGGTCCAAAGATGTTGTTCAAACATGTTCAACCACTGTGATTTCAATGCGCTGCGGCAGCATGATCATCTCGAGCATCCAGGCCCAGCCTAAACCCAATCTCAAAAACTCAAAGCCCTCCGGTTTTCCGAAATGACCAACATGAACTCAACAAATCTATGCTGGAGCCTGTCCCGCCTGTCCCGCCTGTCCCCCCAAAAAAAAACAAAACTACCATAAATAATAACGGTGATTGATGTTCATCTTCACAACCCCAAGCAAAGGAGACCGAAAGGATCTGTGGATGGAAACCCTGGTCTTTCAGTCCTTAAAAGAATTCTCGTAATTGTCGATGCACGTCCAAGCAAATTCGTAGCTCTTGCAGAGGTGCTCCGCAATGGCATATCCCACCTGATGAGCCACTCTCCCATGAGTGACGTTCGGAGATGGGACCGACACCGACAGCCGCCGGACCAAAGCAAGAGCCCCAAGGTTGGTCAGGACCTGATCAGGCCAGCCATTTGGAAATGAGAAAAGGTGACGTGACTCCCCTTCGCTTTCACCATCTTGGAGCCAATAAACCCAAAATCCTGGGTGGGAATGAAAAAAACCTCGGGTGGCGCCTTTGCGGCTGGACCGGTCGAAAACCAAAGCTCCTCCCCCTCTCTGCCGAGCTCCCCCGTTTGCGACCCGTTGATGGGCAACGAACCCTGACACCGTGTCCGGGGTCCCGGGCCCAGTTGATGCGGTTGGAAGGCTTCACCTGGAAACGCATCGGGAGCCCCTGCGGATGCTCCAGAATGGCCCCGGTGTTCATGAAGTTTGATATCAAGAGCCCTCACAATGGAGAACACACAGGCAAAAGAAAGAAATGAGAATGAGAGAAAGCGTGTGAGCCTTAGTCAGTCTAACATGAACCAGAAAATGAATGGCTGTGAATGGGCCCGCAAAACACTTTTCAGTTGCTTCCTTCCTCATGTTCAACGTCGACATGCTTTGTAATGCTCCAAGGAGTGGAATCAAAAAGGTGGCGCCGTCTGACGTGGAAGGCTCCGTCGTTGGGATCGTCTGCCCGTTGGGCTCGTGGAACTGTCCCAGTCGAGCAGTCTGGTCGAGGAGTCGAAGAAAACATGCTAGCCAACGACTCCTCTGAAGAACTTAAATAAGCAAAATAAATGGAGATAAATTAGGTCAAACCCGCCGGGTTGACCTTACAGGCAGGTCACCCAAGGTTTTTTCTGCGTTTTGACCCACAACCACATGAAGAAACACCACCTCAGGGGTTGGCCCTAATCCACATCATGCCCTTCCAAAAGGAGTTTGGGTCGGTGGAAGCAATCTCCGGGTTTGAATATGTTCCGACCGCTCTGATTTCGTCTGGAACTGTGGCACCACCAAAGCTCCTTTCTTTTCTGGCTCGAGAGGATTCAAGCGAAAAGGTGTTTCTGGAGATTTAATGAATTTAATGATTCAAAGTCACCGAAAAAACTCTCCGCAGTTCTCGCGTGGTCGTGGTCAAAACCATCCCCCAAAATCCTACTGTGTGTTTGTTTCCCAGCTTCTGAAGAACTCCAGGATCCCTAACAGCTGAGAAATCAGACCTCCTCTGACTCAGAACTTCTTCCGATAATCGCTTTGAAGTGCCTTGGATGCCTCATTGCTGCGGAAGAGAATCTCATGATCCTTCTGCTGCATCTCTCATGTTCCTCCCGCCCTGGTGGGGTCTGATTGAGCGGAGCTGGTTGGTCTGGCTGCTCATACGACTGGTAAGCAGCAAGCCCACATTCGTCAAACTCCACTTGGTCTTTTTCCGAGATGCACAGATCATCACAGATCTATCTTGAATGCCCGAAGTGTTTGGCGATCGCTTTCCACTGGGCCTTCTTGCTCATCTGGAAGGAAGGAATCGATGGTTACTCTTGTCTCGACATCAGACCTTCCAGGCAACCTGACAATTAGGCAACCTGCCAGCCGTCTCTGAAGCCTCGGCACAGGGAAGCACCGAAGCCTCTGGCGAAACGCGCACGGCCGCGGCGAAACGCGTACTAGCTCCGCACCCCATGGCAGGTGCAGGTGAAAATTGGACCAAAAGCCCACATTTGGGGCAGCAAATGCCTGCGGGAGTTCCAACAAAAACATGTGAAGTACGAGGAGAAATGTCCAAAACCGCAAAGTAAAGTTCCTTGGCTCCCATTCTCTCTTTTGCAACCATGGTGTCCCTCAAACCAACAAATAGTGCATTCACAGAGTGAGTCTGGACCTATGTGTCGATGAATCTATCGGGACGCTCCACCAAAAAAGGAACCGAAGCCAAGTCTTCGTTCCTTTGGGCACAGCAAGGCCCAACACGAAGGGCCACCTGAGTCATTTTGTCCACCCTTCCAATCGCTTCCAAAAGGGTCGACCACGGTGTCCACCAGGGTGTCAACCCCCGTCTTTTTCCTTCGCGGTTTCGGCCTGCAGCAACTTCCTCCGGGTCTCGGCGAAGCCCGTCACGTCCCGCCCTGGGCGCCCACTGGAGCAAGGAGCCGAAAATGGGAACAGAATCCCCTTCCAGTGATGTGTGGGGTGGCCAAGGCCGGGAGCAAAAGGAAAAGCCAAGGCGCCGCGGTGCTTCTCTCTCTTCTCTCCGCGTCGCCCGGGCGCCCGGGCGGTGGATCTGCAAGAGGGAGAGGTCCCGAAGGATCTGGATGTTCTCGGGATCGAAGCGCAAGGCCTGGCGTCGCGTCGCGATCGGTGCAACGGCGAGGCTGGCAGGGTGGTGGTGCGGAGGGGATGGGAGCTTCGCGCGCCAGATCTGCAGGTTTTCAGGAAATCCTCCAAGGGTGGCACGGATGCTGCAGCGATGTCTATCCCCCAAAAACAAAGAAATGAAAAATCCGGAAAAGCCGTGCAGCAGGAGTTTCCACTGATTCGATGGGGCCCTGGGTTTGGGAGACCTCTTGAGACCTTTTCCGTGGAAAATCTGCAGCTTCCCCGCTTGAAACTGAACACGTCGTTCTGGCAAAGGATTCTGCACGCAGGCCGTTGTTGTTCACATGGGTTCACAGCCAGCCCAACAGCCGATCGAGTCCCTCGGTGCGACCGAAGCCTGTCTATAGCACTTCACTGCCTGGCACAGCGGTCTGCGCTGGTTCGAAGCACGGGGAGTGTTTCGCTTCCGTCGACCGCGGAGTGCGAATTGTCATCGTCAACGCAGCCCAATGGGCTGCAAAAGACTGATCCCTAGGATGATTCTTCTTTGTGCGGTGAGGATCTTCAGACCGTCCACTGGTCCCAAATCACCAGATCGGAGCAAGTCCCTTGCGACACCTCATGATAGTCTCGATCTTGTCGATAGAGAAGACCAAAGACCTCAGCTTCCGTCGTTTCACGCCGTCGACGCCGTCCATGCCCGGATCGGTGCTCGAGACGATTGCCGGGCACCCGGGCGTGCCAGCAGACGTGGCTTTTCAGGTCGCACTTCACGCCCTGGTCGCACGAAGCAAGTTGTTCGAGTCGGCCAGACTTACAGGAAGCATTGCAGGGTCGACTTCACGTGGCTTCCTGACTCTCCTGGGGAATTGGAAAAACCCTGTCTTCAAATGGAATGGAACTAGAGGAGAATTCCCTTTCAGGCTGCAAAAGGGTGTTGGATGAACCATCTAGATCCCAAGTGTTTCGCCCATGTCCAAAGCTGCACAGCTGGACCAGCACCACCAGCCCACTTCGCCCAACTCTTGCCACATCCTTCTTTCCCGCCTTCCGGACCAGCTCATAGGCTTCTTCTTTGCGGTCCAGATAGCTCAAGGTCAACCCCTGGCGCCACTCCCCCAACAGGCTGGGCAGAAACGTCCCGTTCCCCCCTCAACCGCCCGGAAGAAAGGACCAGTGTCCTACTGAGCGGTTGGACCTAGAAGTGGAAGCGAAGGCAAGAGGTCCGCTGGACATCTCAGCATGCTTTTGGTTGAATTCTCCGACTTGCAGCCTAGCACGGGGCTCAAAGCTGAGCCCACCCACCAAGGGGCGCTCCACGCAAAATCTCTCTTTGGGGCTTCTTTCTTTTGTAGAGCGATCACCAGCACCAACCCCAGCACCCACCGGCTCAGCACCCGCCTTCATGCACAAGGTCTCGCCATGGTCCGGATGCTTCTTCAGGATCGAATCCGCAGCCTTGACCCCTCAGTGGGAGAGCATGGGTGAGCAGTGGGTCGAAAGAGGCCAGGCTTTCGGCCTTTCGAAGGGTCAAAAGCTTGAAACACCATGAATGGACCTTCAGCTTGGGAAGTGGGACGGCTGGGCGATTCTGGAGAAACCCCCCGAGTCACCTTACCCCAAAAACGCAAATTGCAGGTCATCCGTGGCAGCACACCCCGTGACAGTATGGTGCCGGGGATGTGAGGTAGGGTGATCAGTACGTAAAGTTGTACAAACGTGAGTTGAAAAGGGATATTCAATGATTTTCAACACAGAGAGACAGTGAGACAGCGAAAGGGAGAAAGACAGTCTCGCCTTTCTTGTACTGCTTGGTCTCGTAGAACTTGACAATCGACCGAAAGACTGCCTGGTCGGAAGAAGGATGGTGGAACGGACACCACACGACATCACACGATACATCACGACACTAATTTTTGAGACTGAGAGTTTTTTCGTTGAATTTTCAGAGGGCCCCTTGACCAATGCTTACATAGGTGGATAGTCTCAAAGACTAAAATGACGGTCAAGCAATCTCTGGCAGTTTTGGACACTGCACATCGCACTTTGTTTGAGGTTTCTCACACCTCTAAACTTAACAGGGAAGCTCTTCTGAGGGCTGGAATAATTTATGTTCATTTGCGAACAGGTCCATCCTAGTGTGTTGGAGATGCATCAGCTGTCCAAGGCATCGTCAGCATTAGCTTGTTGTTGTTGCGGTTGGCCGCTGCTTGGAAAAAGCTTGCAGAGTTGCAAAAGAAATAACAAAATATATAAACAGCAAATGTGATCTATATATTAATACATAGTCCAGTCCCATTCGGCTGTGTTGGAAGAAACCGTCGGGCCACCCAAGACGATGCTTCAGCGGTCCAACGCAGTACGATGAGTGAAACATACTGTACAAGGACAGTACCAAAACCTTACATGTGAGGGACACCGACCCCCTCACGGACAAGCTGGGCTCCTCAGGGATACCTTTTTGGACGGAGATGGATGGAAGAAGCTCCCGTGCTTCCGGTGTTTGGTCTCTTTGGGAAAGATCTCCTGCTTTCTGTTTTCATTTTCTTCCGGCAAGGTGAGGGTGCTGCCAGGACTCTGCCAGTTGGTGATCTTTCCAGATCAAAAAGTCCATCTTATCACCGTGAAAAAGGAAAAAAACGTTGTGGGTTTGGGTGATGAACACCTCTCCCTTTCTCCTTGGCTGATTGCACCGCTCTATTCATCCTCACCTGGTCCTCCTTCGTGTGCCTAGTGAAGAAACAATTCCTTCATATCTGTTTCCCATTCATGTCCGCTTGCTCGTTTTCCTCACTCCTCCTTTTTGCTCAACACCGACCGCATCATCCTCTCCTCTTGCGTTACCTTGCGTTGCTGCAATCTGTGCGGACCAACAAGAACCCACCACCCCTCGCCTGAAAGGTCCCGAGGTTGGAACTCCAACGGTTTCGGGTGATTCCCATCCCACGTCCCATCCATCGCCTGATCCTTCGCTGGGAGCGTCTGTGACATGGTGTTCTCCACTGGCCACCTGGCACCAACCCGGCAAGGAATCCTGCCTTTGGGCAGGATCTGGTGCAACAAGGGGTAAAGAGAATTCCACGCATGCGGCTCGTCTTGATGAGTCAAGAAGCACGCACTCCCGATGAACACGCAAGAACATGCCACCAGAGACGTTAACCTGGCATGGTGAGCCTTGACCCACAGCCATATTTGACCTTCAACTGCACCCCGGTGATTCCCAGCCTGTTACCGCTGGAACCGATCGACCATATCCTGGCGCAGGGGGGTTCTGAGAATGAGACTTGACTTGCTCCCATCTTGCACCAAAACATAACAACAGCTGGTGCTGGATCACTGTTCTATTTGTGTATCAGCGTATTACTCGTTGATGAATTCTATTCCAACTGAAGCGGTTTACTCCCTGTGCTTACCGAATCTCACTGGTGTAAAGACTAAAACCACAGGGTGAATCATGGAAAACCTTGACCAAGATACAATATCTTACGCCACACATCGTCAAAAAAAGGAAACAAATAGGGCCAGCAGCACCACTCAGCGCTTGAGTGAATTACATCAGCGTTTGAACTAAACCAGGGCCAAAATATGCAAAAGCGTCCAAGTGCAGGTTTGTGGCAATACAAGTTGCAGAAATGACCAAGGAACCAACAGACTACTACACACTAACATGTTCAACTGCAGCTCAGTCCAGCTAGTTGGGCTGGAAAAAGAGACAAACGACATGTTCACTCAAGTGGACTTGACCATCTGTGTAAGAATGGCAGATGGTCTTGGCACCGTGCCAATGAATTATATAAGTATATAGACCTCTTGAGTCCCTTGATGGACGTCGAAGTGCGCCTGAATTTCATCACCACACAAAAAGAGAGAATTGAGTAGGTCTGAATACTGAGTGTTCCAAATCTCATAGTTCCTTTTCTTCGGAACAAGAATGAGCATGGATGAGCAAATGGCAGCACATTATGTTTCCAAATGCTACAGGAGGGTTAGTCAGTGCTCAGCTTGGGCCATCAACTTTCCCCAAACCAGCGGACACTCGACTGGCCAAGTTTCCGTAACCATCCGGCAGCCACAAACATGAAAATACTACTCGTTCTTGTCTGTACTGCACCGAAACAGAAGTGACGCGCCAAGAGTGGAGATGTTCAGCTTGCATTTGTTCGAGTAAAAGACTGCAAGTTTGACGACGAGTTCATAACCGCCACCTGCTCTTGCAAAATTAACAACATATATACTGTGTATATATATATAATATGTTTTAATGTTATACTATCGTATCTTGCACATGTGCTTACAACATGTTCAGTTGCAGGGTTCTCTCCCTCGACTCTGCAGGAGCTGAAAGGAAGTAAACATAAACAAACAGCCACAAAATGTTTGACAGAAGCAACCATCAGGTTTTGTGTTTGCTCACCATTCGCTGTGCTGCCATGCTTGCAAGTCAGTGATGTCGAAACTCGCCATGCTTGCCGAAGGCAATGACAGAAATGCAGAAGATGTGTTGGGTTCGAGAGAGGCTCTGCAAAACATGCTGGTTCTGTCACGTGCATCGTACTGGATAGTTCAGCTTTCAATAATTGAGATATCAACTCAATAGCTCACAAAAACAAACATTAGATAGATAGATAGATGGATGGATGGATGGATGGATGAATGCATAGGTACATAGATAGATAGATATATTCATATATAGAGAGAGAGACTTGAGAGGAGGGAGACACGAAAGGTAGGACAGCGGGAAGAGAAGAGAACGCGAGAGGCAGGAACAAAAATGCAATGTTCGACATGGTGATTTATCCCCTCGGAGGCGACCTTTCGTAAATATATGTTCATATGCACTCTAAATGTTCAAACATATGCCCTCGAAATGTTCAAAAAGATTCTTAGGAAAACAAACTTGCCCCATGGCTCAGATCATCGGTGAGCATTGAATCGGAACATCATAGGATTTGAACTATCCTGAAACCATAAAAGGCTCAGAATTGACGTGCTTCACAAAACAAACTCTAGGTATGTATCCCCTCGGGGAACACCTTTCGTGATTTGAATTTCATATTCACTCTTTCTGAATGTTCAAGAGGGTTTCAACTATCCTGAAATCATGAGAGGCTCACGAAGACGTTCTCCAGGAGAGAATTGATTTTAGAGGGGGGGAGGGGGGGGGGGGCTGGATTTGAAAAACCAATTCCAGGGGGGGGGGGGGGGGGGGTCTGTATTGAAAAATCAATTCGCCCGGACGTCCCAACACTTGCTTCGCAAAACAAACTCAAGGTATCCCCTAAAGGGCTACCTTTCGTGATTATACATATTTATTATACAAATATATTCTGTATATCCATGTATGTATATAGTACTTCTAGCCTTCTGAAGAAGCAGTGATAATTCAACTATTTTCTCTTTAATACTGTATTTGCTGTGTCCGCTCGGCTTTAAACTAAAGAAGCCAAGGCGAGGAAGCCATCCACAAAAATGGTCGGGGCACCCTTCAAGTGAAGTTGAACGAAGCGATCTGAGCAAATCTTCGATGGTAAAGGAATCATCTCAACCTTGGATTTGCTTGAAATGGTTTCAAGAAAAGGATCCCAACAAGGCCTCTTTTGCTAGAATTAGAAACACAAAATAGAAAGCTACCAAAAAAGCAGATCCAAGCAACCACCACACATGGATGTTTCCGGAAGTGCAGAAGCATATCACCAACGCATAGGGAAGGGAACTCACATGCCCCATGGCTCAGGCCAGTACGAAGCCAAGAGTAGCCTTTGTCTGTAAGGCCCCAGAGCAGCTGACCTGCAAGCACCACAAGGTGATATGGCTTCATCGCTTGATCAAGAAGGGTTACTTTCCATAGGCAATCTTCGGTGTCACAAAGATTTCTCATCACACGATGACCTCAGCTTTCTTCTGCAAAAAAACGCAAAATCAATAACCCATGGGCCTGAACTACTTTGGTATATAGCTCGGTCAAAATGCACTAGATCAGAAGCCCAAGGGACTTAGATGCCCCAGAGACTCTCGAGGGCACTGCTCCACCTTTGTATTTACGATTCGACTCCTCAGGATGTCGAAGGACAAAACCCGAGTCTCTGCTTGAAGCTTGCAAACCTGCCTTACACGACGATCTGCAAGCACAATGCTCGCTGTGGGCTGTAGAAAGCAGGAAGACTTTTGCTTCTGCACAAGACCAAGCATTGACTTGCAAGCAATAGGCGCAGGCACCAGTGAGTGTTGCTGCCACAAACCATCGATGCTAAATTGAAGGTCTTGAAGTAACCTCTTCTGGTGGCCAGAATGCATGCGTATCCTCGCCCACAGATCAGGATCACGCTCAAGCAAAGCTGTCAGATCTTCAACTCTCTCACAACCTCGCGCCTGCAATTCGGCTGCAAGCTGCTGGGGTCGCAAGACACGGGCTTGTTGAAGAAAGCTTTGTATGGTCATCTTCAGGTCTGAAGGCTTGGGTTCATATGCCTTCTGCGCAATGTCCCACCAACTTGCACTGCGATAGGCCATTTTCAAAACCTCCTGGGCCAGCTGCTGATTGTCAAGCTCCGGCGCAGTGGCATTCTGGAAGCCCCAGTATGACGCAACTGCGCCAGAGACCAACGGCACAAGTGCGGCACGGGGCCAATCTGCCTGAGGCAATTCTATGACCAGTGGCACCTGGGAAGAGGGGACAGCATCAACAACCTGAGCCGCAAGCTGGAAATTGTAAGAGACATGCGACAAGAGGTCAAACTCCATGGCAGCCGCTTGATATCTAGAAAATGCTCGCGAGGCAAGGCTCTGAAAACATCAACTTCAACTGCCATTCTTTCGTCTATCTATCTCAGATGCTCTCTCTCTCTTCATAGTGAAGGGTAATCACTCAAAGGCAATCATCGAATCTCCGTGGCTGCGCAGCTCTGCCCCTGCACTACGAAGGGGGTCTTTAAACTGCATCCTTCTCTTTCAGGCGCCAGCATGCAGAAAGTCTTGAAATCTAGTGCCTCGATGCGCAAGTTTGTTGAACCGAGGCTGGAACAAATGCCAACGCGTGCGACTCGGTATGAGCGAGGCAGGAAACAAAATGTTCGGCTACATGAACAGCTTACTTTCAAGGGTCGATATTCAATAGAGTAGTCTAGATCACATTTAACAGCGCAAGATTGCTCTCTCCGCTCGCGCACGCTCTGGCACACACACTCTGCCGTACTACAGCATCGTGTGACTTTCAGGCAGCTGTTACTCCCTCACTTTTTGGGCGGCGGCAGTCCTGAGTGCGACAAAATGCCTTCTGCGAAGAAAGTGCCAGGCCCATCAATGATCAGGTTGTAGGTCCTTTGTGTAGGCAAAGCCTCCCCGATCCTCACAAGCTTTGCCCCAGCATCTCCGCGAACAACAAGAGTCTCACCAATGGTAAGCTCTTTGACAGGCTTGGACTTGTCAAAATGACCCTCATCGAGCGAAACCACTGCCCATCCCTTCTCCTTTGTGTAGAATGGATGTCCTCCAGTGGCCTTGATGGTGAACTCCTTGCCATCTGCAGATTGCAGTAAAAGCTCTCGCAAAGTCCGGCTGGAACTTTCCTTGACCTCAAGCACCGTCTTCACTCGGAGCTTGCCTTTATTGTAGTTCAAAATCTTCTCGCCCACTTTCACATCCTTGATCTTCTTCTTGGATCGGTCTGCCATGGTCACGAGTGTGTCGCCACGCAAGCAGTCTGCAAGTCCCGCCCACTGAGCAAGCACACCCAAAGTGCCAGCAACGCCGCTGCCCAACACCATGCCCTCGGTCACAGCAGCTGCCAGCAGCCCACCACCGAGGCCAGCCCGCCAACTGCGATGCCACCCCACAGCCACCAATTGATGCCATCTTTCGACTGAACAGGAGCTGTGGCATCCAAGTCCCCCTGCGGCATGTAGGTTGCATTGAAGGTCCCGGCACTGAAATGTCCCATGCCCTCTTCGATCTTTTTCTGGATGCCTGACGGGACTTGAAGTTCTGCAAAGACTGTCGGCAGGTCAGCTTCTGCCAGTTCATCCATGTCGCCATATCCAGCCTGACGAAACTCTGTGGCCCAAAATGAAGAGCTAGGCACACGCATCTGCTTGAAATGGTACTGAAGATCATCCCCACTGGAAACGCTAGAACAATCTGAAGCCGCCCTCAGGCTACGAGCGTTCTTGGCCGAACAAGCGGAGCTTGCCTTCTGAGAATCGGGTGATGACACCTGGGACCAATGGTCAGAGTGCTCTGAGGGAGCGACTGTCACGGTCCTCGTGTTGGAAGTGGAAGCCATCGTGCAGCGAAAAGGAAGGCGAGAGCGAAACTGAGCTGAAGATGCTGCGGACAGCTGGAAGGCTCAACTGACCTCCAGTGAACATCCGAACCAAGTGTCAGAATAGGGTGTTGCCTGCGCTCACTCTTTGCACTCAAGATCGCTCAAGCATTCAGCATGATCGAAAAAAGACTCAGAGAAAACAAAGTAACCACTAAAAGCGCTGCAAGATGTCCTCTCATCAGCTGCAACATCTGAATCGGTTTCAGCTTTTTCGTCCCGAAACTTCACTGGCAGCTTGCTTTGATGGCTTTCTTTGCTTCCCGATCTTCACCGAGCAAGAAGCTGCCGGACTGCGGCCCTTGCGATTATTCTTCTAGAAGCAAGGAGAAACGTTGGCACCTGCCGTCACAGTGAGGGTCAGCACAGCACAGTTCACGGCAGGTAGACTTCATCCACCAGAAACTGCCTGGTGCATCTGGGCCGCGTGAAAATTTCACCGCGTCGCATACCGAGATGCGATTTGTAGTCCCTACGTCGCTGCGGTACGGAAACTCCAAGTCGTCACGTGGGCAAGCTTTGAAAGCTAAGATGTGAGATGAGTCAACAAGCGATGCAAAGATCTCTTCACTAAAATTATCTCAAGAACTGCGGTTCTAGTGACTAGTGACTTTGTCTTTTGTGACCCTCTTGCTCCAGCCAAAATAGGCATCTAGCTTGGACTCTACATCCTGTCACTACCACAGGTATCCTTTGCAGAAGCCAAATAACAAGACAGCGAAGAAGCTAAATAACCATCCATCACCACAGGGCGATCGGATCGAACCTAGTTTTTGTTCAGCATTTGGACTTTGCAACTCACAGGCTCACCCCAAAGAAAGAACAAGTGAAATCCACCAATCCTGCGCTTTTCTCAGAGAGCCTTGGTGCACAATTGACCAAAAATTCACCACCTTTCCCCCCACCAAGCCAAGTGTGGGAGCCTGGGAGAGTCTGGCCAAAGGCAGCGGCAAGCAGCTCTTCTGGGAAGCCAAAACTGGAGCCCTCATAAACCAAGTGCCATTTTCCTGGCCACATTTGCAGGTGTGCAACAATAACATTCCACATCATTCATGGACAACTCCAAACTCTTAGGTTCAGGTTGCATAGAAACTCAGCCAGAGAAACTCCAAGAAAAAATTGCGCAAGACATCACAACACAAGGCTGATTTCGGACTTCTTCCTGGGCCCAAGAAATCTCAAAAGAAACTTGCAGACCAAACCAACACAACAGCACATCGATCTCGGCTCGACTAGTCCTCAATGAAAGCACGAGCTCAGGCAGGGCGTTGGGCGTTGCATTGCATTCTTTAGTCACCTTTGAGAAGCAATCTTTCTTTCGATTACAAACGACGTGGCCCACGAGCTGCGCGACACGACACACTTGGGAGAATGAATGAAAGGAAACCCTTGTGAGCCGTCTTCGTGTTCGTGGCTTCGGAGTCTCATATAATGAGCAAACACAATATTATGAAAATACAACTACAGGCCAAGCCATGCCAAGCGACGGAAGGAAAATGTGGCTTTCGGTGCGAAAGCTTGGTATCGTTCGCCCATCTGTCCTGAGAAGGAGATATCTCCAGCAATCAGAACGCAGAAATAAAAACAAAGCTGGCATGTTTAACTCGCCCAAAATCGACCGTCACTGAAGTGGGACGGTCGAGTGACCAAATGCGACAAGAAGTGATTGGAAATCGCGTCTCAAACCCCGACCCGCCGGGGATTTTGTGGTGGATGTTCACCCATGTTCACCCCAACCAACAGCGACACTCCCTGAAATCATCGTGGCAGTGGAGTTCACCACCTGTTTCGTATTCGGAACAACAATCATTTAGTCAAGGGACCATGCCATCCACTTCCATAATGATTTCACGGAGTGTACCAAATCTTGTCGCAAAGGCTCCCCGCTGTTGGTCTGCACACGACCGCGACGTTGACCGAGACGTCCACCACGACGCGGGTTTGGGAAACTCGAAGCTGCGGACGCAGGCTTGCCGGAGTCCTGCGGTGATTGTGATCATCGCGATCAAACCCGCAACGAATCAACATGACAAAACAGACCTGGCAAAAAAACAATAGAGAGCACACACATGCGAAAAAGAACATTGACATCGGCAGCTCTGGCTTCCTTTTGCCGAAAGCTTCGCTATCTTGCAAGCGCAGGGTTTATGGAATTTGCTGGCGTCGGCCCACCTGCACGCGACAAGAAAGGGATTGTTTGAGGACGCTTCGCATCGTATATAGAGCCAACATCCTGGCCCCAGATCCAGCCCGTCCAGGGTCCTCTTCATGAGTGAGTGTCCCTTCAAACGGAGCGACGTCCACGGGGTGTTCGGCCGGTATCGGGGTTCCACAAATCATCTCCATCAAAACACTTGCCATTCTCCTCGGTCAATTCACCTGAGTGGTTCCAAGGTCTCTTCGGTCAACACCTTCAAAGTCTTTTCATTTCATAGAGTTCTATGGAGTCATAAGGCATAAGGTCTGCTTGGCGTTGATCTATGATGCTTAGTTGATAGATCAGAGATTTGTAACCTTTGGTGATTTGTGAGGGTTTCTGAAATTCTGAGGGCCAGGACATTGGGTTGGTTAGCACCTGAAGGTCCACCCCTGGACTCTCCTGAACCTGGCAAAAGCAGCAAAAGGGGCAGAGCACGTCCTAGATTCCAAATACGGAGTTGATGACCCTTCCAAGCCCTGATTGGGGCAGGAACCTTGGGAAGGCACCAAAATATACCAAAATATGCAACACGCTTTTATCCTGTCCTTCCAAACCTCCTGTCCTGTCCTTGCGGAAGTCAACCTCCTTCTGACCGCGCGACTACAAGCGGCCCAGCCCAGAATCTGCTCCATGCGAACCATGGGGTTTCTCGACTTTCGACGTGCTGCGAGGTAAGTTATCGCCGTCGCATTCGATGTTCGATGGTCGGTTGATCCCCTGGTGTCGGGAATTGAAGAGAAGAGTTTGCAATCAACATTGCATGACTTTGACGCCTGATTTTGAGCACCTCTCACTAATGCGAGTAAATGAACACATTCAAACGTCGCCCAAACTTGGTTGAAGTCAAAACTAGTCGCGCGACAAGCAAAGAAAAACCTTCTGGGAAAGGGCCCGAACACGAACACAGCCCCGCACAAAACGAAATTGAACAAAATCCTGCAACAAAGCATGGGTGATGGTGTTGCATGAATCCGCTACGCACGGCTGCACACCTGGGATCTCCGTCACCCCGTGGGATAGTTGACGTCGTCAAGCCTGTCTGCAGGTAGACCAGACTCGATCAACGATGCAGCGCATGAAAAAGGCCTTGTGACAGACTTTCAGTTCTTTAGTTACCTTGACTCATACCAGAGGTGACACACCCACCACACCTCCTACGCACCGAGAGCCGACCATGCGCAAAGGCTTAATTAAGGCCCCAAACACTCCAGTGGTTTCATGTGGTTTCAGGAGTGTGTGGGGGGGTGTTGACTGTGAACTCCCCACGTTGAAAAGCGAATAGTAAGTATATATATATTCCAGATCAAACAAAGAAAATGTAAATATACATAAGATGCCATCACCGTGTGGCAGGCTATCCAGGGCGTCTCACTGTTTGCAGATGGTGGCAATGTTCATAAAGCTGTAGGTCATTTCACCCGGATCGGTTTCCTGTTTGGTTTCCCACATAAACATGGTCTCCCAGTTTGACCCTGCCATCTCCTTTCGTGGCTCACGTGTTTTTCGAATTCCACACCTCCGCGGGGTGCTCCCAAGGCACCTGAGGGCTCTCACAAGGCAAGTTGGGCGGCCAAACCTCCAGTTCCAGGGACGTTCGAAAGTGAAATCCAACTCCGGACCCTGCACTGACCCCCCGAGCCGTTCTCTCTTGGAAAATCCAGGTGAACTGAATGTTCCACCTGTTTGAATGGGGTGTTCCCAACCCTCTGACTGGGTAGGTGCAGGTAGTGAAGAGTCTTGACGGGGACCTGTGGCACCCTATACAGCATGGTACACGTCCAGACGCGCCTTAAGTGGAGGTCCATCCCAAGAAAGGATCAAGAGTCCATGGATTATTTTTGGTGCGATGCACCTCTAGCAAGACCTCATGTTGAATGTCAACGGTTTGGATCTCAAGATCGAAAAGCATTCCATCCCCTCCAAACACGTCACGTGCCTCCGCTGTGCTAAGATGTCCAACCCCTCCGCAGTGCACCATTGCCCCAACATTGCCCGCGGAAAGTGAAAGCAGTGAAAAACAAGCTGGTAAAGAAAGAACTGATGCACCTCCAGAGGAGTCAACCTACCATGATTTCATGTGTTTGTGTCCATTCCCACACCCCAACGAATGATTCTTTGGAACACTGGACCGCCAACACAAATCTGTAGTCGCCATTATTCAGCTGCGCCATCTGACTCTATCAACAGCTGTGGAAATGCGACAAGCAGCAACAGGCTCAGCATTTCTCAAGATTTGATTGAAGACTACACCAAAAAAAGACAAGAAGGGAGACAAAAAGAAACAGATGGGGGACAACACGGACACAATGACCAACAAGAAGGGAAACAAGAAGAGGGACAAGAAGAGAGACAAAAGAAAACAGAAGAGAGACAAAACGGACACAATCCTCAACAAGAAGGGAAACAAGAAGGGAGACAAAAGGGAACAAAAGGGAAACAACACGGACACAATGACCCTGGCTGGAAAGCGCGCGGGCGATGACACAAGGTAACGATGATGATGATGATGATGATGATGATGATGATGATGACAAGGGCCACTAGCTATCAGGCCCTATTCCTTCAACAGGAACGGGCTAGTGAGGACCTCCCCTCTCGTCCATGGTCAGCCTGCACTATCTGATCACCGTGATTCTGGAGACCTACTTCAACCGCTGCTTCATCCGGCTACCTGCAGGACCACTCCAAGAACATCACTTTGAGGCTGTTCCAGAGAAGGGCACGGTCATCTTGCCTGCGGTCTCCTTCCTCCTGACATTTTCCTTTTTTCTCCTCCAGGGGTCTGAGATCTACCAGATCACCTCTCAACGATTCTGGAGGAAAAGAACCGCCTCCCAGGTCCTTGCACCTTTGAAAGCAGCTAGCTGGGGTCCCAAGTCCCCAACCAGGGCTGGCATCCACCTCTACCTCCTTGGCGGCCTTCTTGGGATCCACCTCGGGGACTATATGACCAAGCTCAATGCCAACGCCATGCCCTGGTCGCCCGAGGGTTCCGGACCCGCCACAAGGTCCGGTGAAGCCTACACGGTCTTTGCCAATCAGGACACCTTCACGGCAAAGCCAAGTGGCCTTGGATCCACACACCAACGTCTGGACGGTTACCAGCACTTTCCCAAGAAGAAATCCTACATTCGTGCAATCAAGAGGGCTCAACTCCATGGGCATACTTGGTACAAAGGGAAGCTCTATACAGCTCAGATGCTGGGAGTCACACCACTTCCATGGCAGCTTCCTGAACCTCCCAAGGCCTCCTTGGGGCCAAAGAACACCACACCTCCTGCCAAACTCCTGAAGAACCCACTTCAAGGGCTCAGCTGGAATATAGGCTCTCTGAGTACATACAAATTTGACATCCTCCGGCAATGGATGCATCATCAACAACTTGACATCCTCCAACTTCAAGACACACGCTGGGGATTCACAGGAGACTGGTCTGACAATTCGTTCGCCTACATCCACAGTGGATCCTCAGATCGAGCTGGAGGGCTCCTGACCATCGTCCGCAAGGCATTTTGCCAACCAGACCGAATCTCCTGGCGTGAGGCCACTCCAGGCCACTCCAGGACGGCTTCTTCATGCACGGCTTTACCTTGACTCCACGGGCGTTGACTTGGTCAACCTCTACCAACATCCATGGACTGGATCAGACCAGCTTTGCAAAGACAAACGTTCAGGACTGCTGAGCACATTGGACAGCCTATTGGCTGGCCTTCCCTAACGGAATGTCGTCATCACTGCAGGTGACTTCAACAGCAGCCTGCCTCGAACACCGCACTGCGTTGGTCTACATGACTTTCAGGGTCACAAAGGACGGACATCAGGCACTCAACATCAGGACTCACATCTTTTGGCTGCACTTCTCTCCCGGAGAGGGCTCCTTGCCATCAACACCTGGGATACTATGCTCGGTCCTACCTACCGAGGCGGCTCGGGACATCAATCCAGGATTGACTATGTCCTGGTTCGGCATAAAACCAGTGACTCCATTACCAAGAAGCCCATCTACCTGGAACACCTACCAGGCAAGTTTGGTCACACCAAAGACCATGCGCCGGGTTCAACGAGATCTCCTTCTTCGACACTGGAACCTTCAGAGGGATCACCACTCCTCCAGGGTGGAACAGATCTTTGGATACTGGCTTCGAGTGGCTCGGATTCAACGATGGCGGAAAGAGGCCACCAAATCGGCCAGGGAAGCGAAAAAACTGAAATTACAGGACACCATTGACACCGCCAGGCATCACTGACAACGACACCCGGCGCTACTTCAAGGTGGTCAACTCCTTGACTCCCAAGCATCGACCCCCACGTCCTCAACTCAGAAAGAACGAGGGTATGCTCATGTCTCCTGGAGAAGAACTAAGATGGATCTTAGACTACATGGGAGGGGTTTACGCAGGCTCTGATTTGCAAGGAGTTCATTTTCACCTTCAAGCACTGCCGTTTGGACCAGAAGACATCACCCACACTGAGATCCTTGTATGGACACACCAGTGTCCCAACGCATGTGGCACCTAGCTTCATCTGGAAGTCCATGGCTGAGGAACTGGGTGGCTTGCTACACACTTGGCTCTCCCAATGGATGGCAGCAGGCCACATTTCCTGGGAATGGCGGAAAGGATGGGTGGTTCTCCTTCCCAAGCCCAACAAGAAGGTCACTGAACCCAAAGCTCTTCGTCCAATTGCATTGCAGACCCCTCTCTCGACTTGAGGCCAAGGCCATCTCACGTGTCCAAGCTCATGCCAGGGCAGTTCAAGCACTTCACCACCAATGGCGTTATGAGGCTGGCAAAGAAAAGGAACCAGGGGCAAAGACACCCTTGGTCTTCGGTGGGTGTCAACTTTTTCTTGACATGACGGGAGCCTTTGAGGCGATGCCCAGGGAACACCTGCAAGAGGCCTTTTGTCTTCTTGGTCTTCCCCAAGATCTTTCGGCTCTTCTTTTGAGCTGGCACACTGAAACCTCCTATGTTGTTCAATGGAAAGGACTTTCCGCCGAACAACCCACTCATAGGGGTGTGAGACAAGGCTGTCGGGGTGCACCCTATTTTTGGGCATGCTTCATTGCACTTGTTCTTGACAGAGTGGCGGCAGAGACCTCAACCAACTGGATGAGGCAACGCTGCACCTTTTACGCCGACGACGGGCATGCCTGCTTCAT